TGCTCAACTAGTAGCTAAAGACTGGGAGTGAATGAGTAAGGCTAAGAATGGCTGTATCTAGTCCCACCAGGCACAAGCACTGAGCAGCCCCTGAAAAGTCCCAGTTCCTCCATCAGCTTCCAGGCAACACCTTCTGTTCCAAGTGTGAGCGATCAGGATTGCTACAACCAGAGCAGTAACAGGAAGCTTGCAGAGCGGGATGGTGGATTGCTCACAGTCACACAGGGAGTTCTCACCTGAGCAGAGCTTCTACGCTGGGAACAACAAGCAAGATTGCTCTGGCTCAGAAAGGAGGCTCTGCCACTGCTCACAGCGGACCTTATCCACTTCCCTTCCTTTCCCTGAGCCTGGGCTTTCCTCATCTATAAAGCGGGCAGTGGCCTGGCCTGGCCTGGCCCAGAAGTGTGAGGCAGGGGCTAACAAACTGTCATGTGTAGTTAAAGCTGGTGGCTTTTCACAGTTTTTTCCCAGTGTTAAGGGGCAAGTTACAAGGGTCTGAGGATAGGTATGTGAGAGCCTTGGGCTTATGGCTTAGTCTTCAAAAGTGGAACACAAAGGAAAGGGTCTGCCCCTCACCGGCCCTTGCAATCTCCGAAGTCGCGCAACGTCTTAGCCTAGATAACTTGGCCAGGCAGAAGGTCTCTATCTGTGTAGCTTCTAATAGCCTGAACAACCTTTCCCTCCTGGAACCTCTTCCAGCCTGTGCAACCTTTCCTAGCTGAGAAGCCTGTTTTAGTCCCAGGTTCTCCCTGCCTGAGTAACCTCTGTCTCCCTGCAATCTTGATACTTCTGGGCAACCTTGCCCAGACTGTACAACCTCTTTTTGTTTGTTTGTTTGTTTTGATTTGATTTGTTTTGTTCAGACAGATTTTGCTATAGAGCACATGCACTTATTGAAGAGACAAAGAGACAGAAAATGGGAAATCACCTCCCAGGAAGGCTGGCCCTGCTGCAATCCTTTCTTCTCCTCCATTCTCCTCTTAGGATTTTAGGTACCCACACACACATGCCTAGAGTTTTAAGCTGCTGGGTCTGGGACTCAAACTGTGGTTGACTATGTGGGAGTCCAGCAATGTAATCATTACGCCATCTGCTGGGTCCCAGACTGTACAACCTCTTGACTCCTATAGCTTCATTCTAGTCCCATTTCCCTGAGACTAGGAGAAGATAGCTATGAAGTGAAGGAAGAAGGGGCACTTTGAACCACCGCTGCTTGAGGCCCCGAGGCAGGAAATCAGGGCAGGGGTGGCCATCTGCCCTCTTCCCCTCTGTTCCCAGCAGGCTCCCACCAGCCTGCCCTGGCCTGGCTAAAGAGGACTGTGTTACTCATTCCTATAGGAGAAGTTGGCACCCTCATGCCCACTTGGCAGATGAAGAAATAGAGGCCCAGAGGCTTGTCCGTAGTCACACAGCGAGGGAGGGTTGGGGCCAGCATGGGGAGCCAAACCACTACTCATGCGCTACCTCCCTGGGGACATCTCAGGCAGCCAGACCTAAAAGACTGGGTCCCTGAGGCAGATGTCCTGAGCAGATGGGGCCCTCCTGGGCCCCCACCCCCACCTCCGGGGAATATTCTCAGGTCTGTTCAGAAGTTCCAAGTTTACTCAGAGCTCTCATTTGAGCTGTCATCAAAAGTCCCTTCAGCCTGGGGCCAGGGCAGGGCATGGAGGCGGTGGCACCTGCAAGCTGTGGGGGGAACAGGGCTCCTCCCAGCTCCCCCTTTTCCATCCTGTTCAGGTTTTGGGGGTCCTGCCAGGAGAGGGCTGTGAGAGTGAGGTGACCCTCTTCCTCGAGCAAGTATTTGTTCTCCTATCTTCATGGCCTCCTCCCCTTCCCTTCTAAGCGACGCCTTGGGTAGCCCTAGGAAATCCCCACCCCACTGTAGCCTCAGTGTTCTCCTCTGTGGAAGAGTGGGTAGACTACATGAGGGCTCTTGGCTACTGAGGGTCTGGGGTGTGCCAAAAGCTGTCCCAGCCGGTACAATGCTTTTTAAAGTGTTGTAGCTACTGTTTCCTGGGAGCTGTCTGTGGGTCCCTGCCAAGATACCCCATCATCGTGCTGGCTTTGTCTGTCTATGTACCAAGGAGACCCCAGGGTTGAAGAAGGTGCTGACCCATAGTAGGTGCTCAGTAAATCCACGCTGAGCAAACCTCTCAGCAACCTGAGCTATGTGTCCTAGTTACCGTTCTCAATCTCAGAGATGTTCCTAATCCTCCCTCTTTATCTTACAGATAGCCCCGGATTCTTCTTTCTACAGATACTGCTTATTCTTACTCTCTCTCTCTCTCTTTTCTTTAAGAATTACTTACTTATTTATTTAATTTTACTTGTCACTTTTTTTTGAAAAAGTTTTTGCCTTAGGTCATGTGTACTCGCCAGAGAGAGAGAGACAGTGAGAGGGAAAGTGAGACATCCCCCCCCCCCCCCCAGGGAGGATGGCCACACCATAATCCCTTCTCCTCCATTCTTCTCCTGGGATCTTAGACACCCACACATGCCCGGCATGAGTTTCAAGCCACTGGACCTGAGACTTGAACTGTGGTCGGTCACATGGGAGTCCAGCGACATACCACTATACCAACTGCTGGCCCATTTTAATATTTTTTAATCTGAACAGAGAAAAAGACAGAGAGAGAAAAGAGAAAGTGAGAAAGCAAGCCCACCGGCTCCGGGACTCAAGCCACAGTCAGCCATGTGGGAGTCTAGCGCCTTAACCAGCACGCCACCTGCTGGCCCCCCTTAATCTTGTATTTCCACATATTACATAATGAGGTATCTGAGGCTCAGAGAAGGTAAGTGGCTAACTCAAGGTCAGATAGGTACTAAGCAGTGGACCTGGGACTTGAACCTACATCTGGCTGAATGGAAGCCCAGAATGACAACTGGTGGCAGGCTAGCAAGGTCCAGAGCCCCCACCTGGTTGCAGGGACCTCCCAATTATGTAGAAAAGGGCTGTCCTTCCTGCCTGCGAGGGTGGGGGAGGCCTGGTTCCTCTGCTCCTTGGCTATGGAAGGAAAGGGTGCTCCTTCTTCCGCTCACTCATTTATCCGGTATCAGGGCAGCCCTGCCGTTGAAGAGAAGTAGGCGCCTTCCAAAGCTTCTGGTGGCCTGCTTTCTCCTTCCCCATCTTCTCTCAACAGGCCTCCTCCTCTGGCATCTACCTCCTGCGCCCCCCTCTTGGCCTGAAGTCAGTCTTACTGGGTAGAGGAGCCTGCAAAGCCTAGGGCCTGGGGCTGGGTCCGTCTTGTTCTCTCCTGCCTGCTGGGCCTGGTTCTGGCACCTCCTATCATCGGGGCTCTTAGTTACCTCCACTGCCGGGTTGACTAAGGATCTAGACACCCTCCGGGAAGGTAGGGGTGGGCAGGCCCAGGGCTTCTGCCGAACCCACTGTGGGGAACAGGTGATCAGGGCCTCTCCTCTGGTGTCTGCCTGTCCCATGGGAATGATGGCCCAGCTCTCTAGGCCATCATTTTCCAACCCTGGGCTTTAGATCGGATGCCCCTTCTCGGAAGGTGTCCAGGCAGAGAGTCTGGTTGTTATGTTATTCTGTCCAGTGGGTTGTGGCTTTGCCATCATATTGATAGCGGTCCGATCCCAGTGTCTCCCAATCACAGCTAACTGGGATAGGTTGTCCTCACTGAGCCTCAGTCTCATCATCTGTGAAACGGGTTGAATGAGACCACCAGCCTCGCCTGGTGCTGGAAGGATAATGGGAGACATGCAAGTGCCCACAACACAGTGAGCCCTGGTGCCAGGAGGACCAGAGCCCAGGGAGGCCTGGGAAGGTGGAACCATGGTTTCCTGAGCACACCTGACCCTCTGCCACTCTCAGAGTCTGCCCTTCTGTCAGGCTCCAGGTGCCTCCATTCAACTCCCTTCCCACACGGGAAAGGGGCGTCTGTGCTGACAGCTTTCACAGTCTGTGCCCTGAGACCTTGCAAACAGGCTCACAAGGACAGAGCCACCTTCGTTCCCATCTTACAGGTGAGAAAACGGAGACTCCACGGTCTGGAAGACACAGCCATGCACAAGTTCACTCGGCTAGAAAGCTGCATGACCGGGCTGTGCCTCGCCAGGTTTTCCCCACTCCACCACGTGCTTCTGAAAGCCCGTCCTGCCTGGAGGGGAGCACAGGTGTCCCGCTGTGCAGCTAGGCACACTCAGTCCTCTGCTCTGCGCTGCAGCTGCCGCAGAGACTTGTCACTCCTTCGCCAAGTCCTATGCCCCACTCCCAGCCCCAGCCCCTCCACTGGGAACACAGCTGCCTGTTTCTGGTTTCCCAGTCTTCAAGGCTCAGCCTCCACTGACCGCCCTGCTCTCCTCTCCTCTACACACCCAGAACTGGGTTTGCTCTAATGATCTAACCGGAGCCCTGAGCTTCATGAGGGTGAGGAGACAGCTCGTGGGGCCACCTGGTTTGCCTCTCAGCCTGCGTGGGAACTGAGTCACCTAGGGAGACCGCTCAGAGCCTTATCTCCTCACCTGTGAATGGGCAAGCCAACCCATTTTGAAGGATTTGATGGAGTAAAGGTAATGAAACAGGAAGTTGGCACACAATTGATGCCTGGGCACCTCCTTCACCAAAATGGGAGCCGCCAGGCTGTACCCATGCCCACCACTGCCAGGCTCCGCTGCCTGGAAGCAGGAGGCTTCTCAGGGTGTGCTTGTCCTACAATGGGCTTTCCTTCTCCAATCCTGGGCTTTAGGGGGCTGGTTTCCACCTTGGCCATGCCCCTGCTTCCTTGCCCCAGGCTCTGCAGGCACACAGAGGAGTGCTGTCATTGGAGCTCGGCCAGGAGGAGACATGCCCCAGCCCTGCCCGCCTCTCGGTGTGAGCCTCCTGTGCCTCAGTGCGCCTGGCGGTAACCTGGGCACAGACTCCTGAGCCCTCCGGACCTTTATGCTAGTCGCCACAGGCCGGGAACAGGCCCTCCTGAGCTGAGAAAGCACCCCGCGCCAGCGCCGGCGCCAGCAGGGAAGTTTGGCTGGAGCTGAGTTACCTGCAGTTTCACCTCCTGTCTCAGAAATCCATTCCAGGGCTGAGGCAATCTGGCGCGCTCCGGGTGGTGGCGGCTGGGCACAGCGTGGGGATGGACGATGAGGGTCCGGGAAAGCTGGCAGGGGTCTGGGGTGGGAATCCACAACTGGCCAGAGTCCCCAACCAGACTCTCATAAGACCTGTCACCCAGACTGCCGGGCAGATGGCCGACACAGAGGGAGACAGCGGGCACCACCGGGCGGCGGACACCAGGAGGAGGCGGCGGGGCAGGGAGCAGCGGGCGCGAGGGGATGGCCGGGCAGCCGCGTGGCTGTCAGTCACACCCAGAGAGACGCCGAGCCC